GGGAATGAGGGTTGGAAAGGATTTGGCACTCTTCTATCCTTTGAACTTCCGTTACTGGCAGTATCGTTTTCTAACCGATTTTGGGACAATCAAAATTAAATCCCAAACTTCCACTGAGGCTGCACGTGAACACTTTGCATAATTCCCTCTAATCTTTGTTCATATATCTCGATCAGTGTTCTTACTTCATCCTCAACATGTTCCAGATTTACTTCGCAACATGGACCATGTGTCATGGTGCCATTATGTAAGTAACGTAGAAGTTAGATGTTCAGTTTCACTCAGGAGAGAGAAGGTAGTTGCTGCAATTTCAAACCAGCATCGAATCATACAGCAGAGATATCTGTTACGAATACTTAGTCACTGTTTCTTCTTCTACCCAATTCTGGTTGAAGGAGGTTAAGGCTACAAATACGACAAAGCCAGGAAAAGCAAAATTTGGCATAACCCCCTAGGAGGATACCTCGACACTGTCAGATATTCACGATGTTGTATTAATGATGATGACTAGCAATGGGATCCATGACACGCCTTTCCTTGTCAGCTAGATGTGTCTCAACATAGTGAGTGATACTTTTCCAAATGAGACTGGAACCTAGGGGGGGGGCACAGTAGCCAGTTGTTGAGCAACGGGTACCAGTCGCTGTTTTGATAGTTGTAATTTCTCGTTGATAAACATGGCCAAATTACTCAAACTCTGTTGGCAGATGAGCTCCTATGCGGATACCTCGATACTGCTGGTTATTTATGTTGCTATATTCCTCTAGCTGACGAGTCCCAAAAACGATGATACGTGCGTCGTGGATTCTACTGATAGCTAGTATAATGAATATCACATGCTGCAAGCATTTCATTTACTGTCTAACTTTTGCTTTGCACTGTGTAGAAATTTGTAATACTCTTGTTTGTGTTTTGTCTGGCACCCGAAATCGGTGATCCGAGATGCTTGACATTTGAATCCAAGACATAGATTTGTCATAGTTGTGACTCGTCAGCCATATGAATATGGACTAACTACTGGTGATAATTTGCTTTCCAATCCTTTGTTTGTTTTTTTTTTGCTGTTCACATTACTGAATTGAATCGATAATCTCTCAGGGAGTGATGAATTCGATACATTGAAGTAAACAAAAGCTAACATTTATACCTAGTAGAAAATACTTTTACTTTTGTATACGATTAATATTGAGTTCCAGAATCATTCAATACACTATAAAAGGAGGTAGATATATCCATCTGGTAAATATCAAATGCCATAAAGAGTATACATTAGATTTCAGTGTGAATCACAATCAAGCGACAAAAGAAATTAATGCTGCTATTTCATGAGAAAATTTAGACTTTAATTTAATTTATTATTCATCCACTTTAAAAATGATCTTTCGAGTTGACCTTGAGTTTTAAAAGGGATAAAAAATTTCTTTCTCAATTAATCAATCAACATTGAGCATAATAAAGGATATTTCTTAAGATTTCAACAACAAAAAAAATGATTTCATTATGATCTTATTGATTTTAATATTTTAACTTCTTAATGGGTGTGATGTTTGTAATCTATACTTTTCAGTACTCCCTGACTGATGACAGCATTAGTTATAAACATACTATCTGAATTGCCTCATATGTATATATTTGTGTACTAATTCTCTTAAATAACATGAAAAACGATTCAGTTCATACCTATTATAATTGTTAATGATGAGAAAAGAAATTAGGTCAGACGAAGGATAAAAAACGTTGATGGTAGACGAAAAGAACAAAGAAGTACCAAACAGCCTATTTATCAAATGGATATATTCAAGGGGTCTTAACACTCAGTCTAAGATAAATTTAATACTAACTTTTAAAAAAACCTATGACACTGTTCATTTGGTAATGTTCTAGATAAGATTGAAAGACAACTCCCATAGTTTCAAACAACAAAGTGCATTGTGTAAGTCATTAAATCCCTATGAAATATATGGCTAACTGACTGTAGAGAATGACTGTTTGATTTGATGTACCAAATACATGTTCATTGTTATCTGTTTGTATTGAATGTATTTACAACATAAAAAGGATTTCGTTGATTACAAACACCTGGCTTCTGTCTATTTAGTGGGATAGTTCAATTCTTGATATTCTTTTTGCTGTTAACTACAATGCAATCAGCTGCTATACTAAATGTTCAATATCATTGAAAAGAAGATATAGTTAACCAAACTGAGATGAAGTAACTACGGAATAGGTTAAGGGTTAGCTTCAGTGAATGAAAGCGGATATTCTTCTTCTAAAATGATCTAGTAATTCTAAAATGACATTGGTAGACTTCAGTGAATAAATTTGACTTGTAATTTTTAAGCCAGTATTCATGACACTTTTATCACGATTAAGGAGGTGATAATTTGTTAGCTGAACAACTCTGTTTCCAAATGTTATTATGTGAAAACGTGAAAATTTCCATCATATTTTTGATTTAATTCTGGTGCAGACTAGATGAATGAATTAACTTATGTTAAGTATTTTGACGTACTAGTCATCATAACCTTGCAACGTAGAGAAGACAGAGGTAATGAAGATACACAACCAGCAACAACAACACCACCACCACCACCAACAACAACAAACTGCAATCTCCATCAACGTGAGTAGCCTCTTTCACCTATCTAGCCAGCGTCATAACTTATCTGAAACTATTCGCATGACAGAATATCATCAAAAGTCCTTCAAGTAATGTCTCGTACCGAGTTACGAGACGCTAGGAGTCTCTACAGAAACACTAAGTGTCTGTACCTTCTGTTGCTACTTTCCAAGAGGCATTGAATCTCTACATTACTACCACCAGCAAGGATTAATATAGGTGACTAGTCTGGCATCCGTAATCTTTAATACTTAAGAAATCGAAACTGTGTTGACAGTCACATGTTATAATCAAGCGCGTTAGACAATTAAATAAAACCGCGATAACCTTTAGCTGTAGTTCACATGCTAGTCGAGTTTCTCAAAAAAAATGTATCCATCATCTCTGCTTATAGAATATGTCTGCTTTGAACCTAATGATATTTTCTCTCCAAACAATTCGTAGATCATTATTGCTGAGGATGCATCGATCATATTTTCATTCTTCGATAGGTTGTGTGATATAGACATACTTACCGGCTGGTGACAAGGGTCACCTCTTCTCAAATCATTGCTGGTGACAATAAAAGGGTCATGATTAAACCATACAGCCCAGACAACACAATACCACTGAAAACTTCTATTTTCCTAGACCTGAAGTCGGCATTTTACTCCATCGATATATAGGCGTCGTAGAATTGTCTGAATGGGAACTGATTACTGAGCAAGTGTATTAGGAAAATCAAGCCTACTCACTACAAATTGGCAGTGCAGTAAAAGCTTACGAAGGCTTGTCATCTAAAATAGAAACAACCGGCAGTGCTCGTCAAGATGTTCACTGTTGTCATTCTTACATAACTTAGCTAAAGGCATATCGGTGAAAGTCATCTCACTTACTTCTAGCTTCATAACGACTGAACCACTGCCGAAAGTTGTTTGACTAAGTTAAAGCACTTAGATGATATAGTCGTGCTCGGCAAAGACCCCTACTAACTTCATGGTTTTCTCAAGGCTGATCGGAAATCCAAATATTCTTGGGATATGTTGTGAACCTGTGGAATGTAACATTATTCTTCAGGACTGGTCCTCACCCACTCCAAGCTTAAAAGTAGGAAATCAAGTCATCGAATATGTTGACTACTTTGTTTACTTGAGGAGTTGTATCAATCCTAATTCCCTATTTTGGAACAACTTGATGGTAACAATCGCCACCCAAACTACGGTCATGAGTGTGCACTGCGATGACATTCCGAGTTGAGGTGGAATACATGTTGAGTGCCACTTGATTTCCAGTGGTTTTCGTGGAAGATGTGAATCGTGTGTTAAAAGTACTGATAAAAGAATCATTTCTTGAACAACAGGGGTATGCCTTATGGTAAGCTGGTGAAATAACGATACAAAATATCTCACTTTGTTAAGTGTATTATACTATGTTTACTGATGTCAGTAGGACAGTATAATAAGCTTCATGCAGGAGTGTTATACAAAAATTGTCAACTTCTTCACTTCAGTCCAACATGCGTAGTGAACCAGGACCATACACATATACATGCTGAAGATGCTTACTACAGAAAGAAGCAAGAAGACAGATTGGAAGGAAGGATTGTTTATTGTCAACAAGTGGGACGGTAGCCGTTAAATATGGTACACCTTGCATTAAAACCATCATTCCCTCTTCTCATTCTCTCTTGATTGGCTCTACATACACCTACATCGTCTCTTGCTTTTCTCCCGGCAGAGTCCTTACCCATTCCTGGTAATCCCCTATGATTTTTGACACCCTATCAACACATACACTTATGTCCATTCTTGTCAGTAACGCCCAATACACCACTGATTTTTCCACTGCGACAAATTACTGCTGTTGGATTTGTTTCAGTCATTAAAATATGTTTCGAAAATATATGTACACTCATATACTTTTTAAATATTTTCAACTAATCGCCTTACAATTTCACATTGAAACTAGTAGGAAACACCATAGTAGTTTGTAGTCGGCTATTTGTACATATATAACCCTGCTAAAAGTAGTTAACTAGAATTGAGCGTTTTTGTGTTGGCTAGACTGACATGCATTGCCAAACTTACCACTGATTTTTCATCGCCCAACTCCCAATCACAAAACAACAATTGACCGACAGGTTAAAAGGAAAGCTTAACAACATCTAGTCGCGTTACGTACTATCACTCACAGTTCTGTGATTATTTTTATCAATATAACCACAATTAATTTATTGGCGAATAATGTACAGTGAGGAGATTACCTTCAAAGTTCACTTAAAAAATTCGATACTGTATTAAAATTATTCACTTCACCATGGGGTTTGTTATTATTACTATTATTATCATTGAACGAATTAAGACGGACACATCAAACAAAAGGAAACGCAAAGAACAACAACTAATCAGTTCATAATTTATTTTCACACGTCTTGATCAACACGAAAAATAGGACATATCACAGGTGAATTCTACACCTAGAAAATAGTCATCCAGATTAAGATTTACTTCATTGAAAGTTTCCTACGAAACGTATTCACATACACGTTAGCCTCTGAACATTCTGTACGATCAAGTTTTTCAAGTCTCTTTAGTGAGCAACTGATGAATAAAGGTTCACAGCCAATACATCGATCACAAAGTTTTTTTAACTCCTCAATATTATCGTAAGAGGATGAAATGGCAGCTTCATTAAGACCTGTAATATGAGAAAAGAAAGGAGAAGAAATCAAACAGTGAGTTATCAAATCCACTAGACTCTTTTATTACGCAGAAGCATTTCCTGGAGACAAAAAAGTGGATAGGAGCAGACTGTGCATTCCAAAACCTCGTGAAAATTTATTCCGCATATCGTATCCCACTCTCCACATCTAAATGAAAAATCATATGGTGAATGCAAATGAGAACTTATCAACTGAAACAGTTTCATTTTGTCGAATTTCAGTAGTCAACAATATCCGACAGCAAACATACATTTTTCTCATACGAATATTTAAGCGTTCTCAACAATCCTTTGAAAACACTTCAGATAAGCCCTTTTGTGAGTTCTAAAATACTTGTTTTATCCAATTAAGATTTGAAAATGACACTTATTTCCTTCCAAAACTGAACACCTCTCCAGTAAACAACCAAGTCTCACCAACTTGTCTTCATACAATTCGAACTAATCCGTGTGATTGTTTGCTTGCCTCATCTTCCACTCAACACCAACACCAATGATTCATCATCACAATGATAACTATTTGCCCTGTTCACTAACATTTCATTCTTACGAAAATCAGTGAGATCTTGAAGAAGTGGAAATTTCGGAATTTATACACTCAATGAAAACATATGTAAGTGAAACAATCTAATGTGTGATTGAGTGTTCATATAATGTGTACTCGTCATGAATTCAAGACACTGAATTCTTCTGCAGCAATCATTTACCCGATGTTAAATGGCAGCAGTTTTCAGAACTGCTTCCATCAATGCTGTGAGTTCGTCAGTACACCACATGAAGTGAGTGTTGATTCTGATGTGTAGCATTTTTGCTTCGGAGTCACCTGACTTGATTCAATAATCTTAACTCTGTCTGCCAGTCTTTAACAAGACTACATAAGCACAAAACTCCGAAAATACTATAAAAACTCACCCAACCACCTCAGATTAAGATCTTTACCTCCTGAGGTAATACTACATTTACAACCATTAACGTTTACCCATATAGGAGATTATATAACTGCCTTCAATACGGAAGTAGATCTTTCCTAAATTCTTTTGCCAATCAAATGGTTGGGATCAAAGTAATTCATTTTCAAATAACGAACACATTTCATTTACGCTTCAAAAGTACAAGGTTTGTGAGATGTCAAATTGAAAAGATTCTATATGATACTAATATAGTCTGAATTGTTTATAAAGAGAGTTCACCTCTGACTACAGTACTGGATGAAATGAATTCGAATATCCGAGGTGAAATCAGTTCCCTTGAGATTGCAGATACACCTAGCTGACGAATGCAAAATAGTACGAAAATGTCGGGTTAAGCCTTATCACCGATTACCTCCAACCATTCAACATACCACACCCTAACAACCGGTGCATTGATTCACCAATCACATGACATTATAATTATCCATTATTCTACAGATGTTATAGATTTCCACAATAACTACTTACAGTTTGCACATTTCAGTCTCCTTCTTGTGAGGTGGTTGTTTCTTGTGTTCACCTACATCACTATTATACTGCGGAATTTCATTCAGGAGACATGTCTCGATTACCTTAGACAAAAGTGCAAAGTGAGAATCAAGCTGAAGAACAACACGGACATCGTCGAATCATCGATACTCCAAAAGAAGGCAGTTCGCAAATACCTTGTAAACTCACCACCTCATTCTTACCACTGAATAATAGTGAGGAGTGTGGTTTGTATAGACTAATTTCATCAGTTTCCAGATGACGAAATCAATTATTTCGAGTGTCATTGAGGAAGATGGCTGATCAAATAAATGTACTCATTTCGAAATTAGAAAAAAAGAGTGAGACGCACGTCAAACTCCAGCCTGCATTCACGTCAACATCTTTACCCTTGAAATGAAGTTTCAGGTGCAGAAACGATTCCAATAATGAGTCATCAATTGACGAACAACCATTGAATTGCCTTCAGTCAGTATCTCATCATAGTCGCACAAATAGTCACTGTTTATATTTTCAACATTGTGGACATATTCCTAGTTATATCAGCAATATACAAAATAAATTGTGAAGGATGTCCAGAAGGTTTATCAAACAGCAACTCACCTGAACAACGCTTCACGATTAAACTTCTCGTAAAACAGCTCCTAAATAATAACTCCAACCTTTTAGTACACTTCGAATACGTTGATGCATCACTTTGAATGACGGTGAGTAGAAGCATCCAAATAACAATTGAGACCTGAAAGGCAAAATCTCTTCCTCCTCACTTAACATTTATATTAGAGGTAAGCGATTGACAGTAAATAAAATACACATTCAGCCATAAAGCCACATTGATTCAGGAGATTCGATGTTTCAAATCAAACATCAGAAAGCTCCATATACTTTATTTAGTAATATGATTTATTGCATGTTAACCAGAGGAGTATGCTTCATTGCAAACAATGTGTGGAGTTAGAGGAGAGTTTCAGAAAATGATCAACAGAATTCTGGCAATTATTCACCCCCATTCCAGTTCATATCTTCACTTCTACTACATACGAGCATGTGCATTTCGCTTAACCACTGAATGGGACTTCATTGCATCCCACATCGCTTCACCTACACAGGCATCCTCCTTAAATATCTCCCTATCAAATACAATAATCCGATTTGTAAGTAAACTGTTCCGATCACAAATTACCACCATCTGAACACCAGCAATAGCGTCAGTCATGTCTCTCTCTCTCTCTGACTTCAACATTGAGTGGAAAAACTTTTCATCTCACTCGAGAAACGAACCACCATGATTGTAAATCGACATTGTGGACATGTGGTAATGTCCAACACAATATGAGTTCTACACATATTAAAAATTCCATGATCTGGATTGAATTTAGATGGGCAACTGCAACAGTTGTTCAACAGTTTATACAACAGTAGACCAAGAATGAGTCAAGTGTTCAATGCATATATTTGTAGGCATATGACTAAGATATGAGCTTATTCATGGTTCAGAAAGGTAAGTGAAAGCAATAAATGATGCAGATGGGATCAAATCGTCCACATTCCCTCAGGTAACCCTTCTCATACTCCATATATCATCAAGTAACATGCATGTTTCTAGCTACAATCAACCTAGAAACTATGGTTCCCGTAGTACAGTGGGAAATTAATGACTAGTCTTCGTCAACTATGTCAGCCAATTCAACAAACTCCATTCCTACAAACAACTTGTTACCTACTACTCAAGTCGGACTAAGACGATGCAACAATGCTCAAAATCTATTGATAACAAGCAATTCAAAGTTTGATCAAGGTGCGTTGTGACACCTTCAAATCACTTATTGAAAGTATTGTGACACCAATGACAAAATATCGAATTGATGATGACACTTCCCAAGCTTTCATATTATCCAATCACTTTCATATAGTAATAAATTGGCTGAATCCCAGCCACACTACACCTATGACCACTTCGATGATATTCACAATGCGCATAACACACATTTATTGACCAACATGAAGTAATTCAACTCAATCTTCAGTCAGTTAGTGGATCAGTTTTCGCACTATCAACAAACTACATCATGGTCTACGTTAACAATCTCAACAGATGAACAGTTCGTCAACTGCACAACTCTATCCGTGACAGGATTTCCATTAGAGACCACTAAATAAACACCATGAAGTTGATTCTCTGACACCAGATCTCTGAAATATGCCACTGAAGGACATGACCAGCTAGGAATCACTCACTCTGATCTTCAGATTTTGCCAGCCAGATCAGAGTCATTCAGACACCTGTCGCTAGTATCATTCATTGTTGTGCTGAGGTCGCCAGACCTCGTGTCTGCCCAGTGTATCCTGATACTTTCGCACATAGACCAGGTGACTCTTGATATAACGGTTATCTCAAGTAATTTGTCCAGTTTCATTTTCCCTGAACATTTCGTCTCTGTATGGTGAATCTATTCGTGTACACAAGTGATAAGCTTGATATCAAACGAACCAGAGTATCATCTGTTGTTTTAATCATTGTGATCCTGTTGCTGAAATCTACAGATTAGTATGTGTGGTAACCGAAGACCCGTGTTCCTCATTATTTATGTTTATTTTCTGGTCAATGAGTGTTAATGAGTTATCTCCGTCTAATAAGTGATGAGACATGTTGTAACTCAGTGGAAATTACCAGATTGGTTGTTTTGACTGGGTTCAAAACATTTTGTGTGCCTCAAAATATCAGGTATTCAATTTGATTGTTTTACGTCTTCGATTTAAAGGATTGAACTAGTCATTTTTAAATGAAATATGGTCTCCATGTTTAAACGCCCTTCGCAGTTTCAACCATGTCCCTGGTTCCTCAAAAATATTTAACATCCGCCTAAAAAAAACCAAATTTTCTCCAATTAGTAACTTTTTTTATTCTACGTGGTTTCAAGTGGCAAACGCTGATTTCCAGGTTCAATGCTGACAGGAGGACTCACTTACACTAGCCTGAGGGGTTTGGATTGCAAGGTAATGCCCACCCTGATACCCGAACCTCCAAATAATGTAAGGGTGAGGAATCAAGTGAAAAACTCATCTGTAGCTACGAATGCAATCATACCTTAGTGGTGGATGCAGTGATGGTCCTATAAAATAACTTGGTTTAGTGCAGGGAGTGATTGAAACTCGAATCACTGTTTGTCGAGTCAACGTCAAATATATCAAGGAAAATCTACCTTTTGAGGTTCTAGAGAATTCCACTGCTCCTGCTTCAATAGAACAGTGGAAACTTGAATTATTGAAGCTGTGTCTCAAAACTGTGTGAATATCGATTGAAAATCGTATCCGAAAGGCTATTTGGAAAATAAAATATTTTGCCGTTTGACTAACCTGACAGGTATCGCTTCATTAATTTGTCTATAGTGATATTAAAATCTTCACACAAGCGATGAATAAGTTTCAGATGTTTTCATTAATTCTGACCGAATAACACTCCAGTTGATGCACACAAAAACTTCCAAATGATCTGTTGATAAATGGCGTGCGAAATTGAGTAGGAAAGAGTTTAAGAAGAAAGAGAGAGGAAACATCTAGTCAGCCAGTGAAGACTGAAAACTTCCAAGGTTTACGAGAGATAAGTAAGCGGAGCTAGGTGAATATGATCAGATGTGAGCAATATTATCTAGCAACTATCTCACAACGGAGCAATGCCTGTTAAATACTATTTTTGAATAATGTATTTCGACGAAAATATTCTTATTTCTATTACTATTTATCCCTTGGGTTCCTAGTGGAACATAGGGCTTCAGTAGCACATCTCCATTACACTCTCTTCTCTGCAATCTTTTGAACCTCACTCCACGACAGCCCACAAGCTCTCATTTCTTCCTCACACCATCTCCTCCATGTCACCCTCACTTGGGTCGTTCCCCCTTCAGGTTCCACTCAACGACCTGGCATGGCATGACATGGCATGGCATGGCGCGTGATGTCCCCAGTCGGTATTCTCAGTCTATGCACAATCCAATCCAATCCAATCCATCTCCAATCCCTACTTCTTTCTGCACATTCATTCAGCCATAGGTTCTGGTTGCTTCGTTGTCAGACAGTCAGGGTTCCTTGCTGCCTATTCTTTCTGGCAATCCAATCCATCTGAGCTTCAGTAACGAGTCAGCCTAGTCGGCAGTTGTTCATCAATATCTACAGTTTGTTGCAAATGCTTTTCGTAACGCACCAAGTCTCTCAACCATCACATAGGAGCACTGACTTGACTGAATTGGTGTTGGAAATCCGGATGTTGTTCAAACTTTACGCTGGGTGGAGTGCAGCAGATCTCCACACTGCTTTCACATCACTGAAGGCACGCCTGTCTTGTTTTGCGATCCTGGTTGCTTTGACATCCTTGTCCGTGCCACCTGTAGTTGAATGACGCTGCCTAGATAGGTGAAAGAGGCTACTCCGTGTAAGTTTCTCCCGTTGATGGAGAATGCAGTTTGTGTTGTTGTTGTTGTTGTTGGTTGTGTATCTTCATCACCTCTGTCTTCTCTACGTTCACTTGAAGTCCCCTCTTCCTTCACTGTCCTGCCCTGTCCTGCCTCGCCTCGCCTCGCCTCTTCTCTCAACTTGTTAGTTTTCCCCTCTAGATCTCCAACTTTGTGTGGCATTAGACACAGGTGATCGGCGAAATCCAAATCTTCCACTTTCTTTTTCTCGGTCCACCCAGCACATCACCCTCTTCTCGCTCCTCACTCCTCACTGTTTGCTGCATCATCCAGTCGAGTAGACCACAATCAGAAATATCATGCATGGGTGATAGTAGACAGCCTTGTCTTACTCCTGTCTCCTGTCTCCTGTCTCCTGTCTTCACTTCAAAGGCATCACTGAGCCTGCCATTGTGACTTACTTGGCATGTGGTGTCTTCATATAGTTGTTGAATGAGATTGACAAAGGTTTGTGGTATAGCATAGTGTTGGAGCAGTTGCCTGCCAAATAACTTGTTGGTGGACGCTGTGGGAGGCCTTTTCAAAGTGGATGAAGTTGAGGTAGAGTTGAGTTGGTTGCCATTCTATGCCCTGTTCTATGATGATGAAAATATTGATGACCATGAATGTTGGCGACTCATCTGCTTGATATTTAGTTTAGGGGAAAGTTTTAGTAGTTTGGTTGGTGTTAGCAAGCAATGGAAAGCACTATACGCGTTTCGTTTTATTTCGGACTCGTTAGTTGGCTGCACTTGTATCCAAGTGAGTGACGGAGGTCTGATGAACACTAGAACTTGGAAGTTATTGATTCATATAGCAGTGCCTAATTAACTAGACTACTGAGTCATGACTTCCACCTCGTATTCAGTTTGTAGAAAGTATTATATGTTTTGTAAAAGCCTCATTTTCCAGGTGAAATGCATCTAAACGGGAAATGAACAAAAATTTTCATGTCTGTGTTCACCATGGACTGACATCAGTTAGAGGAACGTTTCGTCTCATAGCAGGAAGAAACAGCTATTCAGTGCTCCCAGGTTTCCAAAGTTCCTCCAACTGATTCCAGTCTGTGAAGAATACCCACTTGAAAAAGCACTAAATCTCCACAGAGCTCCAAATTCAACTGACCTAGTGCTCGTTGGTGACTAGCTTCTAGAGGTGATTTCCGAAGCTCCAATGAGTAGTCGTGACCGGTGGGGCAAACCTGTTGGCAGTGAGGACAAATGCTCAGCGATGACACTGGATGATTGTCGTGATATGTCATGAATAGGAAGAAGTTGGAAATATGGATCACTGGATACTGACCCAGTGGCTGAATAGTAACGTCCTGGTCATGGAACCTGAAGGTCCTGAGCTTGAGGCCCGTGGGGCGGGGTCACTAGTGCGCAATGCTGAGGAGTGTCACAATGGGACGAAACAGCTGCCCAGCGCTGCCAGGCTCCCAATGTTCCTCCAACTGATTCCAGTCCATGATAAATATCAACTTGAAAAATCACTAAATACCCACAAACCCCTAAATTCAATGGTCAGAATGTCGGACATAAATAAGCATCAGGTTGATTAAAACAACCTAACCGCTAAAGGTGAACAGAGTCAGAAATCTTGATTTCGAAAATCGCAGATAATTTCGCTTATTTATTCATCAACACAATTTTCACTGCCAAGCTTATTACAAAAATATTAATCCTGGACATTCTATTCACTGCAGTTACCTTGTTATATCAGGTTTGATGTATTTAGATCAGACAAAAGGAACCATGCCATAGCTCATTATCCTTTTTGTGTTATTTATTTATATTGTAGTTTCAAGATTATTACTGAGTGATAGCTGGAGACCGAACAAGAATGTTAGCCATGGAATGATTTAAATCACTGACCAATGGGTCTCCGGACCAGTGTTCTACCAGATGAACTACAAGACTAGTCTTTTTTAATCATTTTTAATCAAGATTAATCACTGGCTATTATCCCTGAAAACGACTGATATTTGAAAAGCATTCTGTACTACACAATCTGTTAATATTTGAATAAGTTCATTCTGTTATATATCCAGTTTGTTATGAAACTAGGTAAGTATCGAACCGAATCAATCACTTCAGAGTTTACGTAATTGCACATTAGGAGGAACTCATTAACTCGATTAAATAAAATATCCAACTCACTTTATTCGAAACAAACATTATTAAAGTGCGCCAATCACTGTAACAATTATAACGATATTCAGACTATTTGAAACTGGCGTAGATGAAACTTACTGCAAATTTATATCATTTTGATGAAAGAGAAAAACAACTGAAAAAAACAACACCGGAAGTGACCTAAGTAATAATTAAAATAAAAATAATAACATGATTAAAATGATGTTAATGGGCTAATCGTTGTAGCTGGGAAGTACAATAGGCTGATATCAAGTTGTGCACAAGAATGCATGTATATCTACGCACATACGTGGGTGAGTGAATGAGAGAGTAAGTGAACTGCAGTAAACAACATAATGTCTAGTGGCGTGGGTGTAAAAATGTAGCTGAAAATGAACTTCAGTACAACTTGCATTTCAAGTTAGTACCAAACACGGACTGATGTAAATCAAAGATTTCCGCATGAATCCAGATACTCTGGGTAGACAAGAGGTCTGGCGACCTCAGCACAACAATGAATGATACTAGTGACAGGTGTCTGAATAACTCTGATCTGGCTGGCAAAATCTGAAGATCAGAGTGAGTGATTCCTAGCTGGTCATGTCCTTCAGTGGCATATTTCAGAGATCTGGTGTCAGAGAATCAACTTCATGGTGTTTATTTGGTGGTCTCTAATGGAAATCCTGTCACGGATAGAGTTGTGCAGTTGACGAACTGTTCATCTGTTGAGATTGTTAACGTAGACCATGATGTAGTTTGTTGATAGTGCGAAAACTGATCCACTAACTGACTGAAGATTGATTTGAATTACTTCATGTTGGTCAATAAATGTGTGTTATGCGCATTGTGAATATCATCGGAGTGGTCATAGGTGTAGTGCGGCTGAGATTCAGCCAATTTATTACTATATGAAAGTGATTGGATAATATGAAAGCTTGGGAAGTGTCATCATCAATTCGATATTTTGTCATTGGTGTCACAATACTTTCAATAAGTGATTTGAAGGTGTCACAACGCACCTTGATCAAACTTTGAATTGCTTGTTATCAATAGATTTTGAGCATTGTTGCATCGTCTTAGTCCGACTTGAGTAGTAGGTAACAAGTTGTTTGTAGGAATGGAGTTTGTTGAATTGGCTGACATAGTTGACGAAGACTAGTCATTAATTTCCCACTGTACTACGGGAACCATAGTTTCTAGGTTGATTGTAGCTAGAAACATGCATGTTACTTGATGATATATGGAGTATGAGAAGGGTTACCTGAGGGAATGTGGACGATTTGATCCCATCTGCATCATTTATTGCTTTCACTTTACCTTTCTGAACCATGAATAAGCTCATGTCTTAGTCATATGCCTACAAATATATGCATTGAACACTTGACTCATTCTTGGTCTACTGTTGTATAAACTGTTGAACAACTGTTGCAGTTGCCCATCTAAATTCCAATCCAGATCATGGAATTTTTAATATGTGTAGAACTCATATTGTGTTGGACATTACCACATGTCCACAATGTCGATTTACAATCATGGTGGTTCGTTTCTCGAGTGAGATGAAAAGTTTTTCCACTCAATGTTGAAGTCAGAGAGAGAGAGACATGACTGACGCTATTGCTGGTGTTCAGATGGTGGTAATTTGTGATCGGAACAGTTTACTTACAAATCGGATTATTGTATTTGATAGGGAGATATTTAAGGAGGATGCCTGTGTAGGTGAAGCGATGTGGGATGCAATGAAGTCCCATTCAGTGGTTAAGCGAAATGCACATGCTCGTATGTAGTAGAAGTGAAGATATGAACTGGAATGGGGGTGAATAATTGCCAGAATTCTGTTGATCATTTTCTGAAACTCTCCTCTAACTCCACACATTGTTTGCAATGAAGCATACTCCTCTGGTTAACATGCAATAAATCATATTACTAAATAAAGTATATGGAGCTTTCTGATGTTTGATTTGAAACATCGAATCTCCTGAATCAATGTGGCTTTATGGCTGAATGTGTATTTTATTTACTGTCAATCGCTTACCTCTAATATAAATGTTAAGTGAGGAGGAAGAGATTTTGCCTTTCAGGTCTCAATTGTTATTTGGATGCTTCTACTCACCGTCATTCAAAGTGATGCATCAACGTATTCGAAGTGTACTAAAAGGTTGGAGTTATTATTTAGGAGCTGTTTTACGAGAAGTTTAATCGTGAAGCGTTGTTCAGGTGAGTTGCTGTTTGATAAACCTTCTGGACATCCTTCACAATTTATTTTGTATATTGCTGATATAACTAGGAATATGTCCACAATGTTGAAAATATAAACAGTGACTATTTGTGCGACTATGATGAGATACTGACTGAAGGCAATTCAATGGTTGTTCGTCAATTGATGACTCATTATTGGAATCGTTTCTGCACCTGAAACTTCATTTCAAGGGTAAAGATGTTGACGTGAATGCAGGCTGGAGTTTGACGTGCGTCTCACTCTTTTTTTCTAATTTCGAAATGAGTACATTTATTTGATCAGCCATCTTCCTCAATGACACTCGAAATAATTGATTTCGTCATCTGGAAACTGATGAAATTAGTCTATACAAACCACACTCCTCACTATTATTCAGTGGTAAGAATGAGGTGGTGAGTTTACAAGGTATTTGCGAACTGCCTTCTTTTGGAGTATCGATGATTCGACGATGTCCGTGTTGTTCTTCAGCTTGATTCTCACTTTGCACTTTTGTCTAAGGTAATCGAGACATGTCTCCTGAATGAAATTCCGCAGTATAATAGTGATGTAGGTGAACACAAGAAACAACCACCTCACAAGAAGGAGACTGAAATGTGCAAACTGTAAGTAGTTATTGTGGAAATCTATAACATCTGTAGAATAATGGATAATTATAATGTCATGTGATTGGTGAATCAATGCACCGGTTGTTAGGGTGTGGTATGTTGAATGGTTGGAGGTAATCGGTGATAAGGCTTAACCCGACATTTTCGTACTATTTTGCATTCGTCAGCTAGGTGTATCTGCAATCTCAAGGGAACTGATTTCACCTCGGATATTCGAATTCATTTCATCCAGTACTGTAGTCAGAGGTGAACTCTCTTTATAAACAATTCAGACTATATTAGTATCATATAGAATCTTTTCAATTTGACATCTCACAAACCTTGTACTTTTGAAGCGTAAATGAAATGTGTTCGTTATTTGAAAATGAATTACTTTGATCCCAACCATTTGATTGGCAAAAGAATTTAGGAAAGATCTACTTCCGTATTGAAGGCAGTTATATAATCTCCTATATGGGTAAACGTTAATGGTTGTAAATGTAGTATTACCTCAGGAGGTAAAGATCTTAATCTGAGGTGGTTGGGTGAGTTTTTATAGTATTTTCGGAGTTTTGTGCTTATGTAGTCTTGTTAAAGACTGGCAGACAGAGTTAAGATTATTGAATCAAGTCAGGTGACTCCGAAGCAAAAATGCTACACATCAGAATCAACACTCACTTCATGTGGTGTACTGACGAACTCACAGCATTGATGGAAGCAGTTCTGAAAACTGCTGCCATTTAACATCGGGTAAATGATTGCTGCAGAAGAATTCAGTGTCTTGAATTCATGACGAGTACACATTATATGAACACTCAATCACACATTAGATTGTTTCACTTACATATGTTTTCATTGAGTGTATAAATTCCGAAATTTCCACTTCTTCAAGATCTCACTGATTTTCGTAAGAATGAAATGTTAGTGAACAGGGCAAATAGTTATCATTGTGATGATGAATCATTGGTGTTGGTGTTGAGTGGAAGATGAGGCAAGCAAACAATCACACGGATTAGTTCGAATTGTATGAAGACAAGTTGGTGAGACTTGGTTGTTTACTGGAGAGGTGTTCAGTTTTGGAAGGAAATAAGTGTCATTTTCAAATCTTAATTGGATAAAACAAGTATTTTAGAACTCACAAAAGGGCTTATCTGAAGTGTTTTCAAAGGATTGTTGAGAACGCTTAAATATTCGTATGAGAAAAATGTATGTTTGCTGTCGGATATTGTTGACTACTGAAATTCGACAAAATGAAACTGTTTCAGTTGATAAGTTCTCATTTGCATTCACCATATGATTTTTCATTTAGATGTGGAGAGTGGGATACGATATGCGGAATAAATTTTCACGAGGTTTTGGAATGCACAGTCTGCTCCTATCCACTTTTTTGTCTCCAGGAAATGCTTCTGCGTAATAAAAGAGTCTAGTGGATTTGATAACTCACTGTTTGATTTCTTCTCCTTTCTTTTCTCATATTACAGGTCTTAATGAAGCTGCCATTTCATCCTCTTACGATAATATTGAGGAGTTAAAAAAACTTTGTGATCGATGTATTGGCTGTGAACCTTTATTCATCAGTTGCTCACTAAAGAGACTTGAAAAACTTGATCGTACAGAATGTTCAGAGGCTAACGTGTATGTGAATACGTTTCGTAGGAAACTTTCAATGAAGTAAATCTTAATCTGGATGACTATTTTCTAGGTGTAGAATTCACCTGTGATATGTCCTATTTTTCGTGTTGATCAAGACGTGTGAAAATAAATTATGAACTGATTAGTTGTTGTTCTTTGCGTTTCCTTTTGTTTGATGTGTCCGTCTTAATTCGTTCAATGATAATAATAGTAATAATAACAAACCCCATGGTGAAGTGAATAATTTTAATACAGTATCGAATTTTTTAAGTGAACTTTGAAGGTAATCTCCTCACTGTACATTATTCGCCAATAAATTAATTGTGGTTATATTGATAAAAATAATCACAGAACTGTGAGTGATAGTACGTAACGCGACTAGATGTTGTTAAGCTTTCCTTTTAACCTGTCGGTCAATTGTTGTTTTGTGATTGGGAGTTGGGCGATGAAAAATCAGTGGTAAGTTTGGCAATGCATGTCAATCTAGCCAACACAAAAACGCTCAATTCTAGTTAACTACTTTTAGCAGGGTTATATAATGTACAAATAGCCGACTACAAACTACTATGGTGTTTTCTACTAGTTTCAATGTGAAATTGTAAGGCGATTAGTTGAAAATATTTAAAAAGTATATGAGTGTACATATATTTTCGAAACATATTTTAATGACTGAAACAAATCCAACAGCAGTAATTTGTCGCAGTGGAAAAATCAGTGGTGTATTGGGCGTTACTGACAAGAATGGACATAAGTGTATGTGTTGATAGGGTGTCAAAAATCATAGGGGATTACCAGGAATGGGTAAGGACTCTGCCGGGAGAAAAGCAAGAGACAATGTAGGTGTATGTAGAGCCAATCAAGAGAGAATCAGAAGAGGGAATGATGGTTTCAATGCAAGGTGTACCATATTTAACGGCTACCGTCCCACTTGTTGACAATAAACAATCCTTCCTTCCAATCTGTCTTCTTGCTTCTTTCTGTAGTAAGCATCTTCAGCATGTATATGTGTATGGTCCTGGTTCACTACGCATGTTGGACTGAAGTGAAGAAGTTGACAATTTTTGTATAACACTCCTGCATGAAGCTTATTATACTGTCCTACTGACATCAGTAAACATAGTATAATACACTTAACAAAGTGAGATATTTTGTATCGTTATTTCACCAGCTTACCATAAGGCATACCCCTGTTGTTCAAGAAATGATTCTTTTATCAGTACTTTTAACACACGATTCACATCTTCCACGAAAACCACTGGAAATCAAGTGGCACTCAACATGTATTCCACCTCAACTCGGAATGTCATCGCAGTGCACACTCATGACCGTAGTTTGGGTGGCGATTGTTACCATCAAGTTGTTCCAAAATAGGGAATTAGGGTTGATACAACTCCTCAAGTAAACAAAGTAGTCAACATATTCGATGACTTGATTTCCTACTTTTAAGCTTGGAGTGGGTGAGGACCAGTCCTGAAGAATAATGTTACATTCCACAGGTTCACAACATATCCCAAGAATATTTGGATTTCCGATCAGCCTTGAGAAAACCATGAATTTAGTAGGGTCTTTGCCGAGCACGACTATATCATCTAAGTGCTTTAACTTAGTCAAACAACTTTCGGCAGTGGTTCAGTCGTTATGAAGCTAGAAGTAAGTGAGATGACTTTCACCGATATACCTTTAGCTAAGTTATGTAAGAATGATAACAGTGAACATCTTGACGAGCACTGCCGGTTGTTTCTATTTTAGATGACAAGCCTTCGTAAGCTTTTACTGCACTGCTAATTTGTAGTGAGTCGGCTTGATTTTCCTAATACACTTACTCAGTAATCAGTTCCCATCCAGACAATACTACGACGCCTATATATCGATGGAGTAAAATGCCGACTTCAGGTCTAGGAAAATAGAAGTTTTCAGTGGTATTGTGTTGTCTGGGCTGTATGGTTTAATCATGACCCTTTTATTGTCACCAGCAATGATTTGAGAAGAGGTGACCCTTGTCACCAGCCGGTAAGTATGTCTATATCACACAACCTATCGAAGAATGAAAATATGATCGATGCATCCTCAGCAATAATGATCTACGAATTGTTTGGAGAGAAAATATCATTAGGTTCAAAGCAGACATATTCTATAAGCAGAGATGATGGATACATTTTTTTTGAGAAACTCGACTAGCATGTGAACTACAGCTAAAGGTTATCGCGGTTTTATTTAATTGTCTAACGCGCTTGATTATAACATGTGACTGTCAACACAGTTTCGATTCTTAAGTATTAAAGATTACGGATGCCAGACTAGTCACCTATATTAATCCTTGCTGGTGGTAGTAATGTAGAGATTCAATGCCTCTTGGAAAGTAGCAAGAGAAGGTACAGACACTTAGTATTTCTGTAGAGACTTCTAGCGTCTCGTAACTCGGTACGAGACATTACTTGAAGGACTTTTGATGATATTCTGTCATGCGAATAGTTTCAGATAATTTGAGATGATTAAAGTTAATATGAGAATGATGGTATGATGATGGAAACAGATCTAATCGATCCAGGCTTCTTTCTTAGGAGGGGTGGGACGGTCCTTTGGCCATCCTGTTATCTACTCCATAGACCCTCTGTAGTATAACAGCCCCATATTTAAGACATGGAGTGGCTGCTTGAATCCCATTCTCTAATAATGGGTCTTACGTATGTCGGGCATAAGATCCGTAACACCGGCTGTTCGTTTTACATATTGCTTGTCTACAAATTGAGGCACAGACCCTAAAGAGTTGAATTTGTCACGTTGGTCTTGGTGATGCTCCCCTCCTACCTGACTCGTGTTGCTGTTGCTGATGCTGTTGCTGCAAATGGTGCCACCGTAGCCAACGCCGTGGTTATGACTGTGGATTGAAGCCTGTGAGTTTGCGTTGATTTGACGTGTGGTGTCTATAAGGTGTGTCGTGTGTGATGTGACCTTGTAGTTTTCTCTGATTTATCGTGCAATCTTTTTTTATTGTGATCGCGTTAATTTTTTTGGACGAAGCTTCCATGGCGGTTATATCCCTTTGGCTGGGCTGTCGTCGTGAGAACCATCTGTCTTCTTTGAATCCCGGGTGCCCGGTACACTTTGCCTCTCGCACAAACAGCCACGACCACCTGACACAGGAGATACCTTAAAGACACCACACGTCAAATCAACGCGAATTCACACCCTTCAGTCCACAGTCATAACCACGGCTGATGTCTCTGCGTCTGCTCCCAGTGCTTCTGGCGGGATCCTATCTGGTCCTGCTGCTTTCCCACATTTCAGTAGCTTTATGGCGTTCAAGACTTCGACTTTTGTTGGAGGATTTATGTTCACTTGTAGTTCAGCGGCTGTAGGTGGTATTTCTGGACGAAGTGCAGGTGGTGGTAGTGGTTGATCCAAGAGCTTCTTGAAGTGGTCAGCCCATTGTTTCCTTTGTCTCTCTTCTTTGGCGATTAGATTTCCTTCATCACCTTTTATTGGTTTCGTCTTCGTTGATCTCTTCCCAGATAGCAACCTGGTTATTTGATACAATGTTGTCATTTCTCCCTTACCTGCAGCCTGTTCTGCTTCACTTACCAATGTGTCGTAGAAGTGTCTTTTGTCTTTCCGTGCATTCTTCTTCACTTCTTTGTCCAGTGTGTTTTATACATTGTACTCAGTTCCTCTTGTCGTTATGCATCCTTGCACTGGTTTATCTTCTGCTTCACCATCCTCCTCTCCTCTATCAGCTTCCATGTGTCCGTCGAGATTCATTCCTTATCTCCTATCTTCTTCCTTCCTAACACGATTGTGCAGGTTTCTTTCCACATAGCTTTCAAAGAGTTCCAGTGTTCATCCACACAGGTTTCTTCAGGGATGTTCCTCGATATCTCCCATTTTGTCTTGATGGCTGACTGGCGCGAAGATTTCCTTCGTAGTTTCGTCCTTCAGTTTCTGAGTGTTGTACTTGAACTGTGGTCTATCACCAGCTTCCTTGAAGACTTTCAACTTGATTTGGAAGGTAGGTTGCTTGCACTAGACAGTGAGTGGTGTGAACCTAAATCTGCTCCTCTTCTTGACCTTATGTCAAGTAGGCTGCGTATCCATCTCCACTTTCTTGAGATTGAGATGAAGTCGATTTGATTTTTAGTGTGTCCTGGTGTCTGGTGAAATCCATGTCGCTCGCTTTGTGGATATCCTTGTGCTTGAACACACTGCCTGACTCCAATCACCAAATCGTTGAATGCGCAGGACTCTGCAAACAATTCTCCATTCTCGTTCATCACCTCACCGAGCACTTCTCGACCCATGGTTAGTTCTCTTCCTGTGTTGTCCCCTCTCAGTTTGGCATTCATGTCACCCATTAGAATGGACTTTGATATCACCAACTGGGGTGGGGTCTTGTCCAGTGTTGATTGAAGTTGTCTGTAGAATTCCTCCTTCTTCTCTTCATCTGCATTATTTGTAGGTGCATACTGTAGCATTGTATGATTGTGACCTTCCTTCCTTTTGAGTTGAACCTTGCTGTCATGACCCTGATGCTGGAGGAGATTGTTTCCCACTGCATGAGAGCCTTTGATGCTCTTGGGGACATCATGATAGCCACTCCATAACTCAGTGTGCTCGTGGTTATCGTCTGGGTGACAATATCGGAGTGGATTATTGATTCTGCAGTTGACAGTTTGTAGAGTCCACTCCCATTCCATCTGCTTTCATACATTCCAAGCACTTCAATGTGATACCTCCTCATCTCGTTTACAATCTGGGCTGCCTTGTTGTGTTCAAACATGGTGCGGACATTCCATGTCCCCACGTTTACTTTCGCTTTCATCGAGAGAAGACACATCGGCCCGGCTAATTGGCTTCCCGAAGGCTTTCACCATTTGGCGTCATTTCGTCTCTCCTATTCCAGCGAGGAATAAGTTTGTTTTTATCTTTTATATTTTGTTTGTGCTTTGAAGTTTCTTTAGCAGTTAGATTTGTTTTCTGGGGTAGGGTTGCTAGCCCTACACCCAAACCTCCCTTTTTACCCAGGCTTAGGACCGGCTAGTAACTAGTGAACTAGTTACTAAGCGTGGTTGACTTGGCGCTTTACGAGATGCATTTCCATCTAACTGCAGACATTCATCAACAACTGTCTACGCTGGCTC